GTTACAAATTGCAAACCACTTACTCATCACTGTTTACTCAATGGCAGGCTGGTTGGCCTTCTCTGACAATGCGTAGGTTTAGTCACTAAACTATCATTATTCATAAAGGCCAATTTTGGGTAAGTTTCCTTCCTAGTCTTGTTTCTATATTTATCAGCAATGTGGGCCTCATTATACTGTAGTCTGAAGACCTAGTGTATTTTTGCTGACTGTTTTTTTGCAGAAGAAACTTAAAACAAAATTAATTTGCAACTGTGAGTGGGTTTAAGGCAACTGCCAGATCTACGGGAAGTAATTATTCTGATGACGGTTGAGGCTTTCGGTATACATTACTATGTATTACTCATACATTGTAATGGACCTATCTCAGCTTCCCTCTGTTATGCTATTGCTTTTCTTCTAAATAAAATGTCTTCTTTCTTTAATGTTTATCATTTTTATGACAAGAGTGGGATTATCGCAGTAAATTAACATTGATTTTCTATCAATTACCAATTACCTAATTTTCTGAAGATGTTTGTTCAATTGCACTCTTCTGATCTATGATGTATAGTAAGAGGACATATTTTCAGTCAGAGAAAGGAATGTTTCGTTTTCCCTCCAGTAGCACAAGCCCTTTGGTCTTGTTTGCTCAGCAAATTGGTGGTTTAACAACAAAGCATCAAAGAACAATACCTGGGATTAGGTTCCAAGCCAACATCTCAATGTAGAGGCTCAGGGTTTTGTGCCGGGAGAATAGAGACACAACATTAAATGCTGGTGCTGTCCTCAGGATGGGGACACAGTGACAACCCCACACCCTTGTTTCTTCTACTCTCTTTATATTCCCTCACTGTCACAAAAGTAGCAGCAGTGAATAGTGAAGTAAGTTGATAAAGAATCTTTCAAAGCTAGGACGAGACAGGTGGCATACCATCAAAGGCAATAAAACATATGGTACAGTGACAGCACATGCATCATTGCCTGCCAGCAAAAGCTACCAATTCTTTCTTTTATGCTGAAAGCTTTCTCTTTTGTTTACTTGTGAAAGAAGAGTTCATAACTCTTTGAATTCTTTTGACATTGTCAACACCAAGGGAGTAAAGAATGAAATGCAATGGCACAGAGTGCATTGGGTAGAGAAGGATGGCAGTGTAATAAATGACTGCTGCTTTACATATTGTTACATGGATATATAGAGGGCAGGTATTTAAGGAGTTAAGTGAACAGATAAAGTATCAAGTGGGCTTCCATCTGAAATGGCTCAGATTTTGGTAGCCTGGAAAACTAATGAAATATATAAATTATTTTGACCAAAACATTTGATGGTGAGTAAAAACAAAAGTTTAAATCAAGGTCATGAGTCATGCCTTTATAAGCTATCTCACACATTTTTGCATCTCTATATTGTCTGAGAATGTGTTAATTGTACAACTAAGGTCTTTTGGAAGCTTTGCAGTTTTCTTAGGAATGCAATATCACATCTTTTCACTGGTTGTTCAAAAACAGGGTAAAAGGAGGAAGACTCGGTAGAAGGTAGCCAGATAGTGCTTGGCAGATAAATGTATCACATTAAGCATGGTGCACTGTGACTGTAAAAGTGTGCATATGTAAAGGATGTGTGTTTTGGCTAAGTGCAAACTGCAGCATAGCCATAATTCAGAGCAGCTTGTCCTCATTAAGACTTAGCGGTCCCTCCCACCGAAGCGCCTTACTCTGAGGGCAGCTTAGCCCTTTTATCCCCATTTTGATATGGACCTCAGCCCTGTCTCGCGAGTACCAGGGCTGTGATGGTGATGGCAGAGCCGCCCAACTCCAGGGACCTTTGGTTACCCTCAACATAAGCTGAGCGACATAAGGTCAGCTGCCTGCTGCGCCAACAAAGGTTACTGCCACTCACTCTCTCCAAACACCACCCTCCAACCCTATGCTATATCCACATTAGGATTGGCATGCCCATTTGCTACTTTCAGATCAACGCAATGGTGGGCTTGGTTGTTGCCAGATATAAAGTGCTATGAAATGGTGGCCACTGCAAAGTGTGTGTTAATAATTGTTCAGTCTCTTTCCCGTTACCTATGCAGGGAGTTATTTCTTTTGTTGGTAAACAGAGCAGTCGACAGGCTTCTCAGTAGTTCAATAAAACAACCAGAAACACACAGCCTTCAACTAGGGATCAGCCAAATTCTGAGCTCTCTTTATTAAGAAAACTCTGACTTACAGTACAGGGCACTATCCATTAACCGTATGAAATGGAAACAGGCTTGAACTAATACCTTTAGTTGATTTAGTTCCTCCTTACAAATGTTGCAATTTCACCACCACAACAGGATCAAAAGATAATACAGTGACAATCCACCAGATTGTGTTATTCTCAAATGTTCATGATAAACCCAAAGACAAGTCTGTCAAGTTAGAACTGCCATTCTTGTGGCGGTCACATAAGAAGAAGATTTTTTGTAAATTATGTAAATTTTGTATTCAGTCCAAAACTACTGGATTTTGTGGTGCCATTAAATACAGTCTTATGGTCTTCACTATAGGCTGCAACTTCCAGTCCTATGCGGGTAGACTTTAACAAGACCATGTGCTGTGTTTTCAGAGGTATGTACACATATTAATGCTAACCTGCTCTAATCCACAATTGCTGGTCAAGTGAGAGATGAAACCAAAATTAAGTTAAGGATTAATTGTTGTTTATTTAAATGTAGGTCTTATTTTTTATAGTTTCGGCCATAATTCCTACCAGTGGCAGAGATTAACAGATCTTAAAGAAAAAATACATTATCAGAGGGATACATTTTCTCTCTAACTGATAATGTGACATTAGGCATAACATTCTTCCAGTGTATATATCATTAATTAATAATTAAAGCTTATAAACTTAATCATTTTTTCAGTGTTGCATTATGTAGTTCGTGAAAAAAGGTGTAATAAATTAAGAAGGCTACACATTCATATCAATTTGTCAGATACACATTGAATCAACATTAGGGTAAGTATTAATTCTGTATCTGATTTACCCAATATTAAAAGGACTCGGATAAGTGCGCAAAGATACTTACATTGAGACATCTATAGCTATTACCCAAACTGACTGTAGACATTCCAGATTGAACATACCGACTTTGTTGATCAGCTTTGACCTACACTTGATCAACACAGTACAAAAGATCTACAGCCGTAGATGTGAGCACAGATCATTTTCCTTTGAATCAAGGAATTTTTCATGAGATATCACTCACCGTTTACTCTCCAAATAAAGTGAATTAGATAATCCGCCCAAAGTCTTGTTTTCAATCAGTCCGATTGCCATGCGACTCTTTTCACTGACTTTGATGAGTTAAATGTCATCATAACCAAGAATAAGAGAGGCCAAAGCTTCAAAGATATTACAAAGGTTGTACTCAAATTGAAATGTCCGGTTAGGAGGAAACTGTGTTTGCTGGTTCCTAGGTGACCAACATGTTTGTCCATCGTTGAGTCTGTCTAGACTTTTGTTTTATAAGATGACCCAAACTCAGCTAACGTCATTCAAATTATACAACACAACCTGTCTTTGTATAAGATGGAAGAAACTTAGTACTTCACTGAGGCTCTGATGTTTATCCAGGATTCAAAGAACCCATCTGTTAAATCTGGAAAGACTAAAATTGCAAAGACATTTCTTAGTAAGACAGCACACACAGAAGCAAAATAGCTTCAGGGAAACTTTATAGCAGGAGCTAATAAAGAGAAAGCGTGAGAACCATCTCCTCGTTGCAGTCCAGCGGGGAAATTGACTGGATGTTAAAGAGAGGGGGAAAAATACAGCACCCAGAGCGATATAGGACGGGGTATGAAGACAGTGAGAAAAGCAATTAGTGTTGCTAATTGCTCTCATTAGAAGAGATGGGGCTGATTCCGGACTCCATGATGGACATTGACTATTAAAATATATAAATATGGGCTGCATGTCTGTGCAGTGTAAAACCATGCAGCTGGTAGCTCTGTTTGATAGCAGCAGGGCTGATAAGACCAGACCTTATCTTCAATACAACTCTCTCTATCATCTTTGCGATAGATATAAGGTAGAAATTACTTTTTAAGATAAAATGATAAACAGCTGGAGGAAACTGAACAGAATGATGGAGTAAAAAGTGAAAGATAGATAATAGAGATAGATAGATAAATAGTTGAGGCAAGGGAATTGTCTATCTCCCTTGCCTCAACATTTCTTTGGGCAAGAGGTTTTATCATTATTATGGCAAATAAATGTGTCTTGGCACAGTCATATAAGTATTATGAATAGCACAATAATATCGACAACTCATGTGATCCAGGTTTCCTCTTTGAAATCATATATCCCCCCACCCTGATGGTTTATGGCACCTCAGCCACTCATTCTTCATCTTCTCCATCTCGTAATCTAGTTAGTATCGACTAAACACCTATGAAAATAATCCACTCTGGGTGTTTAATGATGGCAGCCATTTTCTTTTAGAACACACCTAGTGGGCAGTGCTCCTGCGAAACAGAGGCCAACTGAAGGTGCAAAACACATACAAAATAAGACTTTTTCTTGTGCTTCACAGCAACTTAAGCATAAAAGGTTATTAGAGTGTGAGGTTCTGTGTAACCATGTTCACAAGGTATGCCACACCAAAGTATGCAAGAGCACATTGATGTTAAAGGACTTCTCACAGCAGGATGAAAAACAACTTGTGATGTGTGTCAGGGGGATGGTGTGCAATAGGGCATATGCAAAATGAAATAAAATGTAATTCACAAGAAATATCTCTTTCCTCCTCCAACTGTGAGCAAGTGATATCGGCTCTATCTTAAAACAGTGTAATCGTGTATCATTTTCTGCTGAATCCCTGATTGAGTCCAAGAAGTGGAATTACAATAAAGCTCTCACTCTCCAAATGAGTACCAAGTATAAATGATAGTTAAAGATTGTACTCTGCTGGCTATACTTGTACACCTGCTTTTCACTCATTGACTCTCAAATATCTTAAGTAATCAAATTGCCATCTTACCTCTCGATGATGTCAGCGATGGCACACGCAAACATCTGCAGGCCCTCTGGAAGCTGCAGAGCAACTGGAGAGAAAAAGGCAAACAAAACAGTATGAACTTACTTCCTGGACAGCGTATAGATAGCCTCTGCTACAGTTTGGAAGTTATCCACTGACAGTATATAGTCAATTCAGGTTCATTTCCCGTCTCTCTCAGAAGTAATGTTGGTTTAGCTTAGCAAGTATAAAGTCGAAACCAATCCGCACAGGTCTATCTGTCCACCCCAAGACTTATACAGAGCCAATAAACTCTCTCTGATGCCCGTCTCTTTCACTTTCACTCTTTGCTAGTGAATCAAATAGACCCCATCCCATCACCAGCTATACAAAGTCAAAGCTAGAATGTATATGGAAAAACTTCTGCTATAAGCTAAATTAATTAACAACCATTGGTCTGACTCTTGCTGATGGTGCTGTGCGCTGTCAACAGGAGACGTACTAATCTACTGATGTTTGCCACCAATTGAAATTAACCAGTTGAAACAACTCCTAGGTAGGGATTCACTTAGTTACTTTTGCTTCGTTTCAGACTCACTCTGCATCAAGAGACGGCCATGTTTTTTTAATTACAAAGCTAGAAAGGCCCGGAAGCTTTTTAACAGCTTGATGTCTGGAGATGTCATGTGAGATTTTTGGATGTAAACACAGTGATCAGTATTGCATGAAATACTTTCCAACTTCAAAAGCAGTTGCAGAAATGTTGTTGCAGACAAAGAAAATGTATCCAACTTGTTTTCTAGGGAACTTTTGTATTTTTATTTAAAGAAATATACCTATTATATTTTAGAAATAACAAAAAAGAAAAATTAAGTTAAAAAAATAGATAAACATGGTGGGCAGCATATCCATCCCAAACCATTACTAACCACAACACCAAAGAGATGTAACACGAAATAAATCAATATACAGACGAAACAAATAGCAATGTTAAAATAAATTTGGTTTGAAGTAAAGAAGGTACAGATACAAATGTTTTTGTTGGAGCAGCATGCTTGATACAAAAGAGCTAAATATTCTTTCTGGCGGCAAAAGTCAATAAATAGAAAAAACCGTGTGTTTAATATTTATAATACAAGTGTCTAGAAGACCAAGCAGCAGAACATAATATCCAACTCTATTGGAAAGATCAGATATACAGGAGCACAGAGTTCATCCACAAAGATCAGCAGCTTTTGGAGCTTCAAACACAATCAGAACATTAACCGGGCTCTCGGTCTCAGAGGTGGCGTTACATGTATACGATCTAGAATTCCTAATTAAGTAAATGAGGTCAGATTACAGATACATATCTCTCAAGCATGGATCCACAGTTTCTGCTCGTAGGTCATCAATAGTGATTCGCAAGTCTCTCTCGCAGCCTCGCTTCCTATATAATTCGTAATAAAAAGTACAGTGCTTTGAGAAAGGCTTTCATTTAACATGTCTATAAATATTGAAAATTGTTTCAGTTTAACATGGCCAAATAAAGACCTCAAAACCAATCGAAATGGTTTCAGCATCCTCATCTCAGACCAACTGAACTGCACCTTTTAAGCTTTCCTATCAACATAATATTATGTTTTATTTTTATTGGAATTCAATATAGATTAAAATCGTAATGTCCTTTGGGAATTACTTAAGAGATATATTATCTCTTGTGGTTTTGCAGTAAAGATCCTATATAATTTGGTAGATCAAGAATCCATGATTTAGTATACATTAGTCCTGTCATCTGATCATCAAATAAACATGAGGACATCTTGGAATCAGAGATTAATAAGATATTGATGATATCAAATATAGCCCCGCAAAGACTAACAGAACAGGAATCAGAGCATGAAGTGGATGAGATGGAAAAGACGGGTGACAGAGTGGAGATTAATAAGGAAAGAAAATACGGGGCTGTGAGATGAGGCACTATAATGAAAATGCAGAGTGACGTTTTGTATACCGATTCTTACTGCAAATCATTTTTATCTCATTGTCCATTAATCTGTTCAGAGTTGCATCTCAATTAATTGATTATTCACATGATCTATGGATTATCAGAAAATAGTCATACATATTTCCCAGAGGCCAATGTAACCAATGGCCAACCATGTAAACTCAGAGACTCAATTTCAAGGGAAGTTGAAGAGAAAAAAGATTCTCACACTGGAGAATCAAGAACAGGGGTGTCCAAACTTTTTTCACTGAGGGCCACATACAGAAAAATATACGAAGGACTGGGCCACTCACTAGAGGTGAGGTATATTGCCTCGTAAGTTAAATTATAAGTTAGCTAAATGTAGGTAAATTAGGCTTGATACATGAATAAGCTTTAAGAAAAAAACAGCCTTCATCACAGCTCTCTATAGGGTTTCATTTATCTTGTTGGCAGCTCATCCCTTAAAACAGAAGCCTCAGAGTGATAGGATGAAATATGAAGGGTCTATTTCAAGCTTGTTATGTAAATAAGTTATTGGGCTTTTTTTATCAACTAAGATTTGTTAGAACATGTTTTCAACTTTAATTGACTGAATTTATTGGCTTATTAACACATGAATACTACTGTGTTATATATTTTTACATATATATTTAAGAAGTACAATATAAGAAAAGCACACGTTTCATGTGTTGGCCATATTTAAATTATACTTTTTGAATTTGCTCAGGGCCGATTCAAAATGGCCCTGAGCAATCTAGAAACATTACAGTTCTAGATCCATGATCTAGAACTGTAATGTCTGTTAATATGTCAACTTGAATCAATTATAAAAATATTTCGAAATTGATTTCTGTTAATTGATTGATTCATTGACAGTTTCAATACAAATTGTCAGGTCAGGTCACTCCCGTAGCCCGAGGGACGTTGGGGCACTTTGATGACATCACCGAACGTCTCCACACCCCCTGATGTTCCGCCAGTCTCATGCACTCCACCACCTCTTTCCCTGTCCATCTCTTAATATCTGTCAGCCATTGAAATAATAAAAATAAAACTGCTTTCTAATATAAAAAATGTGGCTTTTGAAACATTGAAATTCAGTTTTGTAATTTGAGGTTTCATGAAGTTATGAGATTTTACAAACATGCATTCACAAGTTGTCCCCCAGTTCAGTGTGAAGTCCCAGCCACCGTGTCAGACACATGGAGCGAGCTACCGGAGACAAAGGCTTTGTTTCAATCATCCATCACATTTTCTCCCGGTCCAACTCTGCTGCACCTTACTTCAATGAATCCATCAATGTCTCAGTAGACACTTACAAATACGACAGACACTGAATTCAGCGCAGTGTTTTCACATGACTAGGCCTGAAACTAATTTAAGACTTCAGGGCCAGACAGCATTAAACATTAAAAGCTGGGACAGACAAAAGGTTGAGGGTGGATGGCCATGAGATGGAGTGATAGATGGGGCGGTGTGAAGAGGAGGAGCGAGATAACTTCTTACTGATGAAAGGTTAAGGGATCACCAAGCGCTCATGCAGACAGAGAAAGACAGGTCATTACCTAGAAAAGGGCAAGTTTATTAACACAGAAAGGTTTCAGAGCACACCTCTGCCAGAGCTGACAGAAGCAAAGAGCTCTCTCCATCTGTTGCCTCTGGCTAAATGTGAGTTATCGGCTGGAGGTTGGGCTGGCTGTTTTAATGCATGTTTGAGTTTTCACGCAAGAATGATGAGCTGTTTCTACCTTTGGAAGTGTACTCCTGCCCCCACTAAATGGAGAACCTAAACCACACATAAATACAATTTGACAAGAAGAGTTAATCTAACTGCTTCACATGTTCATACCGCTAACAACTCAAATAAACAAAATGGGAGTTTTCTTATTCTTAGAGACATGACAACTTATGAACCACTGTTACATAAATGTAGATTTCTGAATGTGCAGTGACAAAAACGTCTTGTTTACATGAACTGTCAATCATCTAATGATATGGTTTTATAACATACCTACAGTACAGTTGTAACACTCCGGGAGGTAGAAAGAAAGCTACATGTGGGATGATTTTAACAATGAAAGACAGAAAGTACGATCAATTTGAACAGTAGACTGAACGGACAAAGCCAACGGATTACTCTGAATTTCTTTTAAGGGGGTTATGGCTAGGAAGATTAGAATAGGGCTATATGCAGGGTTTATCCTGTAGTAAATAACATTTTGGGTTTGTTTATGCACATGGTAATGTATTTCTGTTTTCACATACTGTACGCCTACAATCAAGATGTAAAGAATGGACAAAATAATAATCAGTAACACATCCAAGTCAGATGCCAGTTTCTTAGTACACCTAGCTAAAATAACTAATCTTAGCAATATTAGGCTTGTAATGTTCATTTTTAGTTGTAACTATTTTAAAAGAGCTCTAACTTTGTCATATTGGAGGCCACAGACTGCAGTATTACATATATATAATATATCAAGAATGACCAATACAATATGAAATGACTAACCAACCTTTCAAATTGCCCCACACACATTGAGACTTAATATTTTTATGAATTAAAATGTTGTAATCTTTAAAGCATGTATTTACATAAATAAACATGAATTTACATTTGAACTAAAAGTTAATGGAAGTCACACAAGCATTTCCTAACAATGTATTTTCCATTAATAAGGCTATATTCAGCAAACATATTCATCCACATGTGCATGTCCAGTCTGTAGATACTTCTGACTCATTTCTGCCTGAACTTTCCACTGGCAGCGAGCTCTCTGTCCTCTGACATGTTTTTTATAAAGGAACACGCTGTTCAGGATAAAAGGCCACTGGAAAGTCGTTTTGTATTTGGAGATGAATGAAAACGGCAGTTTCTTTATTAGGGGATGCACAAAGAGACTATTTATGTATTAAAAAGAAAAAAAACAGTCACCAGCCACTTGTTTGCCCGTGTTCTGTTTACCAGGGAGGCAATATCTGATGCATCGCTGGATTGTAGTTAAAGGTCCCATGACATGGCCATTTCTACTGATCATAATTCCATTGTTGAGGTCTACTAGAACAGATTTATATTGTGCAATTTTCCAAACTCACATTGGTTTCTCATACAGCATCTC